GCAGGGGATATTGGCTGAATGGCGGGGTCCAGGGGTGCAAGGTCCAGGGCAGGGCATTGGCAGATGCTGAAATTTATTTGGTTGGCCCTGCTGCTGGCCCTGCTGCTGGCCCTGCTGCTGCTGGGACCACCACGCATTCAAAGACATTCTGTGGGTGGTGGGTGGTAACTATTGACCTTCTTTTCTTCTCTGTGAACTGCTCCAGTCAGCAGTCCCCAGGCACTTGCTTTGCTCCACTCTGCCTCCTGTGTGTGTGTGTGTGTGTGGGTGTGTGTGTGTGTGTGGGTGTTTTGTGTTCTTTGTCATTCGCGTTTCAAGTGTTTTCTTTTTTCAACTTCAAGTTTCAACTGAAGCTTTCTTTCTTCTAGAGAAGTCCTACACACACACACACACACACCCACACACACACACACACACCCACACACACTCGCACACACATAGATTAACACTTCCGTTTCGCCTGTTTCCGGTTTTACTTTATTTATTTCATTGTTCGTCTTACCTTTGTCTTTACCTTCGTCTCATCTGAAACGTAGTCGAACCACAACTCTCGAGCGTGTGGGCTAAGGGGGGTACTGGGGTGGGGTACGGGGAAACCCAACTCGTTTCTTTTTTGCTTCCCTTAGGTCTGTGGTTATGCTGTGTGTGTGTGTGTGTGTGTGTGTGTGTGTGTGTGTGTGTGCCGCCCGGTGTCCTAGTCGGCTCCTGTCTCGTCTCGCATTTTTATTTCGAGCAACTGATAAGCCTCGATATAAGAGGATTTCAAAGTGTCTTAAATAACGCTTGAGCGCATTTTGTGTGAGTGAGCCGCTAGGGACTGCGACTGGGACTGCGACTGGGGCTGGACACCCTTCGTGGGATGAATCCTCCTGCTGTGGCTCGTGCATTTTTAGCTTTTCGCACACCACGCCCCCCGCCACCACCATACAATAAGCCTAGATGCTGCGAGCCATGTGTGTGGGTGTCGGGACAGCTTTCATTGTGTCATCGTCGCTTGAATCCCTGACCTGCCGCTGCCGCTGCCGCTGCCCAGCTCCTTCCTCTCCTCTGGCTCTGGCTCGGCTCGCTCTGGGCTGGTGGTTGGTGCTCTCGACTTCCTTTATTCATTATGGGTGTGAATAATATGCCTCAATACGCATTGTAGATATGCCGGCTGGGCAAACGAGGCTGTGCCAAGTGGCGGGGAGAAGCAGACGGCAGATGGAGCAAAAGCAAGAGGCTCTGTAACGAAGCGGGGCAGAAGATGGGGAGCTGGAGAGCTGGGGAGCTGGGTGGCTGCCAAAGAGTTGCAAATGCTATGCCAGTATCATTGGGGGGGGGTAGTTTCAAGAGTTCTATCGAGCTAACAGTGTCAGTCTGCTGTTCAAGGCAGCAGCTGTAACACAGTAACAGCAACGGAGGCGCTGTTAACAGCCTGCTCACGCTGCACGCTAGCAGCCACTTAACAGCCCGCTAACAGACAGCGCTCGCCTCTGGGTATATTTGCCCCAACTTCATGCTATCCATGTGCCACATATATAATCTATGTGCTATCTATCTACCTGAGACTTCACAAGCCACCCACGGGGAGTGACACTCCCCGCATCCGGTTTGCCCTGCCACCTGTCCGCTCTGTGTCTGCCTGCTTGTGGAGTAGAGAAAAAGGTTTTCACCTTTATTTGCTGCATGCTTCATTGAATATTTCCCTTTCGTTAGTGAGGCAATGAAATGTCTGTTATAAATGCACACACACACACACACACACACACACAGGAGAAAGCGATAGAGAGTGAGAAAAACTTTGAGACGGTCCCAGGGAACAGGGAACAGGGAACAGGCACGGCACGGCACAGACATGCCTCGTATAGTTTATAGTCTGGCGCTATCAACACTTTAGGATCTCGTATGTTAAACCGACTTAAACACATAAGATTTATGCCTTTTTCACAAACGTGCGCCTCCTCCTCCTCCTCCTCCTACCCTGTACACACTCGAGCACACACACCTTTGCCTGGAGGGGTCTTCATCATTTCCATTTAAGTGCCAGGTCCATTGGAGGCATCGAAATGTGTGGAAACCAGCCACCAGCCACAAGGGACCAGGGACTGCCAGGGACTGCCAGGGACTGGCAATTGGCCTTAATTTAAAACCGAAAACCCCAAGACACACACTGGCTTTAGAAACTGTCCGAGTGCCTCCTGCCTGCCTCCCTATAAAGATCGTTACCATTTCCCGCAGTTGCCCTGACGTTGGGCTGGCTTGGGCCAGCATGTTAAACAATTGAACACAAAACAAATCAACGACAACAATTGAAGGTACTTTAAAATATATAAAAAATTTCAACAAGCATTTTCAGACTTTCTCTCCCTCTCCCCCCTTCGATTGCAGCTGCAGCCAAAACGCTTTGGTCATTCGCTTAGAAAATACACAAGGCAAACAGTTTGCCCCTCTCCAAACAAAACAAATTGCAAATGTAACAAAAATGTGAGAAAAAATTTTTGTGTGGGTTTTTTTTTTTTTTTTGCAAAAAATATCGAAGAAGAAATCCTGGCCAATGGCAAATCCTGGCATTGTTCAGCAGTCACTCAACCTCAACCTTTGTCCAGTCGAAAATTAGGCTTAGGCACAGAGTTTTCTCTCTCCATTTCGTACTGCATCGGGCCTTTTGTGTGCTCTTTGGGAAATGCTCTCTAGCCCTGCCTCTAGGGCAGTTGCGATTTGGTTGGGAGCTTTGATTCAGCATTCGATATGTAAATAACACACAAAAAAATTAAGATAAATAAATAAATGTGAGAAATGCGCTTCATTAAAGGTTTTTGCCTGTTGGCAGATTAATTATTTAGTTTGTATAATTTTCAGTTATATTTTTAATGGTTTTTCTGGTTTCTCCTAAGCTGATTTCTATTATTTTTATTTATTATTTACCCCAGCACAAATGTTAGGGTATTCCCGTACTCCAACCAAAATTCACTCCATTTTGTAGATTTTTCATTTTTCTTCAGTTTTTTTTTTCGTCTTTGCTTTTTTTTTTGTATGTTTGTTTCTTGTGTGTGTGTGTGTGTGTTTTTTTTTTGGTTGTGTCGTTCGAGCAAACAAGATGAACCGCAATTTGGCTCGGCTCACTGGGCTCTGCGACTATGCCAAGGGTACTACCGCGCTGGACGGCTCTACGGCCAGGGATACGAGGGAGCATGCATGGATCCGTAACTACGACAACAGCAACAGCAACAACAACAACAACAACAGCTAAACAGAGCATAGCAAAACATTTTTGTGGTCAATGGGACAAAAACCTATTTAGATAGTAATCAAAAATGCTATTAACTTTATGCCAAAAGAATTTTACAATGTCGTGGAGACGGAAACGGAGAGAGACAACGAGAGTGAGAGCGAGAGAGAGCACTAGCCACTCTAAAGAAGTAGAGACATGGGATCTGTGCCACAGGACCAGGACCAGGACATTGACTGGTCATGGTCAAGGTAGAAAGGTGCGTGCTAAAAGCCAACAAAGTACGAAGGCCAAAAGGTGGCCCAGTGGAACATCTTCGGGAATGTGGCTGGGTGGGGAGTGGGTGGGGACGAGACACAGCATCAAGTAAATAAACTTTTCAATTCAATAGTCAAGAAAATCCGCACCATAAAAGAAAACAAAGGCATCCCTCTTCACCACCCCCCCCACACAAGCACACACAAAGATGGGCAGTGGCATTAAAATAAGCAAAACATTTGGGTTGCCGGCATGGAAATAGTTTCAGACAAGGGTCCAGTTCAGTTCAGTCCAGTCCAGTCCAGGGCACTGGGCCTCAGGGGGCTTCCAGAGCCTCGGGATGAGTCTTGTTTAACAGCTTACGCAGTTCGAGATTTGAAAAGTCTTCGGGCCGGGCCCACCCTTAAATATTAATGTTGTTTTTTTTTTCTTTTTCTTTTTTAAATGCAATATTGCTCGCCCAACCCCCACCCACCCCCTGTACCCACGCATGAGTGGGCAATAGAGTGGAGTCTAGGATGGGGTTCGCTTTGGTTCGGTTTGCGTGCGCCAAAGTCATGCGTCATTCAAAAATAAACAAAAATAAATAAATGCTAGAAGGTTCTGTGTGTCTGTCCTTTTCATAATCTTATTCGCAAATGAATTAGTTTGGATTTTCGGTTGAGTTTCCATGCCAGAAATGATTTGCCCCCACTGCATGCAAGAGGCGAAAACAATTTAATTAGAAAGTGCAAGCGTGCCCCCGCCATTCAGAGAATATGCCACAATTTGTGCTCCTAAGAGCTGTCTCTGCCACAAACACACACGCACAAACATACATATATGTATATTGTCCAATATGTGTGTGTGTGTGTGTGTATTGGTGGGGGGGTGCCTTCTGCTAGAGTTAAAAGCAAAACACAATAAAAATCGAACACAAAATGCTGTAAATATCGCAGTGCGTACGTGTCGAAAGCGAAACCAAAGGAGGGGTGTGAAGGGGCCGAAGTATCAGGGAACCACAAAGCGCAGGGGAAGCGGCAGGACAGAGCAGAGAAATGGTTGGACTGCTAAGCTTTCCAATTTGTATTCGTGGGTCAGCTTACTCTAAGTCCCACAACAGCAGCGATTTCAGAATATTCTTCTCGTTTTTTATTTTTTTTTGGGCAGCAAAAGTGACTCCAAAGAGTGCAACCACCGATCCCGCTTTATGAGCAAACGGATTCTTCGGAGCCAGAAATAATAATCGGAAACCAATTGGAAAACCTCTGAGCGTTGCCAGATCTGTGGCAGCGCGGCTTTAGCTTGAGCACTTGATGGTTACTAACGTAAAAAAAGAGAAGAGAAATGGGAAAATAAAATATGTAAAAATAAATAATAAATAGATATATAAATAAAATAAAATAAATTAAATAAATTGAACAAAAATATATGAAAATATGAATTTGCTGAAGATAATTGGTTTAGACTTTTTTCCAAGCCAAAGCTAGCTCGAAACTGGAGTTATCGATACCCAACTCAATGCAACTCATTTCGTTGCTGCATTCGTCTTTTTTTTCCCACATGACAATTAAATATATTGCGGAGCTGTAAGGCGTAGAAATTAAAATCAAAGAAATCAATTCCAACAATGGAAACACCACCACCTTCACTGTAAGTAAAGCACTCAAAATATGGCTAAACGAAATGGCCCTGGCAAATGCCGTTCTACGTTTTGCAATTGCCCAAAAAAAGGCGTCACATTGCGTGAAAATATTGTTATTAATTATTTGTTCTTATTTGGTCTTATTTTCTGTGTGGCTTATTCAATAGAATGAATTTATTGGAGCGCTTGGCTAATGGTGACATAAAATTGGAACTTGGCTGTGGCGGCAGGCTGCCACTTACTCCGTCAATGGCGACACATTGCCGCTTGATTTGGGACATACTGATGATCGACTACTTTCGGCAGAATCAGTATCCCAGAGTCATCCCTTTGCCCCTTGTGAGGAGCAGGGAAATGGAAATCATTGGCCAGTGGGCGGAATATCACTTCTACAAAAATGAAGCGGAGATGCAGCAGACGCCGATCCTAACCTGGGAGGCCAACTTATTGAACCTGCCAATCTGCGAGTTTTTATTGCTCATGGAGGCGTCCATACATGTAAAGGCCAAGGCGCTGACGGAGCTGATCATTCGTTTCGGACGCAGCATTGTAATGGGCACAACACCAGAGGTTTCGAGTGGCCTCAAAATTAAGTGCACCCTTCCGCCCCACATGAAGCGGAAGTTGATCAAACACGGTGTCACACTGAACGGCATCATGAAAGTAATGGACGAAATGAAGAACTACGAATTGTTTGAATCTGTATCTGAATCTGAGTCCGAATCTGACGCAGAATAATTAACATTTACAAATAAATTCACATGTAGAATGTAGAATCCGAGAATTCTGTTTTTGTTTTATTTATGATTTAATTGTGCCAATGGAAGCGATGGATCTCTGTTCTTTATGGAGGTAATCCCCTCCTAAACCTTAGCCCGAATTTGCATGCCAAGGATACGCACAACTTTATCAAGCTCATCGCATCCTGGAGCCTGGAGCCTGCAGCTTTGGCCATTATCCCTGTGCACAGCCATGACTTTTCACATTTGCATTATTTTTTTTTTTTTGTAGCTTATGTCTTGGCCAAATCCTCGCCTCATTTTGCATTCCTAAATGGTGTCTCTTCTCGCTCTTTTCGCCGGGAATCTTTCTCTCACTTAGGCGATGGCTAATGGTATGCCAGCAGCCCCAAAGCCCGAGCAGCAGCCATTTGGCAAGCGCCCACGTTAAATGCGCAAATAATGAGTAGAATAAATAGTTGCATAAAATATTTGTAAATTGCCTGAAAAGTTTTCCATGCTCCGCGCGCTCCTTGCTCTCTTCTCTCTCTCTTTGGCCGCGGGCGGAAAAACTTTCATAGTTTCATATTCATTGGGCAACATGAAGCAAGAACATGGCAGTAGCTGTGTTGCAACCAGGCAACTCCTCTCTCTCTCTCTGTCTGTGTGTGTGTCTGTGTCCGTGTGCTTCTGAGGCAGTCAACAGCATTAAAGTTAATTGGCAGCCGCCGAGTGGCGGGCACCCGGACCCCATCCACGAATTGCATCGAGTTTGTCATCTTCATATTCCCATTCCCCCCCCACCACCACCATACCCCGTAGCAACTGGGGCATGCTGGGAGTCCTTCCAAATGTACATTTTAGCACGTGTATAGCTGGGTATTTTCGATTCATTTTCAACTCCATATAGTTCATAGAAATATGTTTACACCCATGGCCCTCCAGTAGGATGGGCTGGCAGCCCATGAAAGGCTGGATTTTGGGCAAATAAAAGTGCTTAAAAGAATTACATTTCACACGTTATATAATAAGAAAATATAATCAATATTTTCATGTTTAAATTAAATATTTTCATGTTTATATTAAATATTTGTCATATATAAATTAAATATTTGTCATACATAAATTAAATATTTTCATGTTTAAATTAAATATTTTTCGTATTTAAATTAAATATTTTTCATATTTAAATTAAATATATTTTATATTTAATTAAATATTTTCATATTTAAATAATATTTTCATATTTAAATTAAATGTATTTCCAACATAAATTAAATATATTATATTATATATTATTATAATATTACTTCAATTAAATATTTTCATGTTTAAATTTTAAAGACTTGAATACATTTATCCATATATTTAAATCAAAGTGAATTATATTTAATTTCACCAATTTTGTAATAACACCCCGAATATTTAATATAATATCTTCTTGCTTTTTTCTCCGCGTGTCAGGCTCGTAACTTAAGTGCAAAATACTCGTACAATAAATGGGGCCAGGGGTCACACTAGGTCCCCTTTGAACCTTTTACGTATACATAAATATTTTAATATATCTTCTTCTGTTCGAATATTATTTTTAATTTAATTTTTGATTTAACTTTAAAGGTAATTTGCAAAAATTTCTGTTATTTTTCTAAGTTATGAATTTTTTTTTACATTTTTTCATTTCGTTTGTCGATTTTCTACTCATGAGCAAGCACAACTTTCCGTTGCCATATATATTTAGTATCTATTTAAATACATACATATGTACATATATACTCCTACACATAAATCCTCTTTATTTTCCATTTTTGTTTTTTTTTGGGCACTGTTATTTGTCCATTAAGTGATGTCAATGGCGTTGCCGTCGTCGTCTAGACGCGATTTCATTAAAAAGCAAACACACACACATTCATACACACGCGCATGGGTGTGGGGTATGGGGCGGCGGCACCATGCCCTAATGCCGCTTTATGTACGTTTTCCGAGGGATATACAGAAGTGACATCCTACCGACTTGATGGCTCATGTTTATGCCGCCAGAGAATTTTTAATTGAAAATAAAGAGTTTAAGCAAACATCAAAAATCACACATCACACATACGCCACATGTGCCCACATGTGCTCCCCGCCACACCGCTCTACCACACACACACACACACACACACACACACACACTGTGCGGATGTGCGAATGTGCGGGTGCTGCTGTTTAATGACTTCATTTGTGTGAGCCCCCAAAGCGCCAGTCCCTCTCCCTGTCCCTGTCCTTCTCACACTCTCCTTCTCTTTCTGTCATCTTTGCTGGTGTTTTTTGAGTTGGGTAAGGGCGGTGGGTGGGTGGTTGTGCTGCTGCTGCTGCTGACAGGCAACAACAACCGCAGAATGTCATTTTAATAGACTAAACAAAAGGTTCAAATAAAAATTAACAGCATTCGCGCGACTCATTCGTTGGGTGGCGGGCGTGGCGTGGCGTGGCGTTCCAGGCGTATCATTGATTTTATGACAATACTTTCGAGGACATTAAATTTATATATCTAACCTTTACTCATAGTTGCCATGATGTTGACCGGCAGCCATTTCTGCAACAACAAATTTAATATTTAAATACAGTTTCAAGAAATTTCAGGGCCATTTTCTTACCGTGGACAGTGCAGCTCATAACAAAGGACATAGGAGGCTTCAGCTTTACGTTGCTGCTCTTAAAAGCCATACATTATGCTTTCCAGTGATTTTCAGATGTGTTTTTAACTCCAGTTTTGGCTTTCAATTGCTCCAAAATGTTCCAGCAAATTCCAGGAAAGCGTAGAATGGTTGCCCTTGGAAAACCTTAAAGAAAGAAAAGAAAAGTTTTGTTATTAAATTGTAGACTTGTGCACAAGAAAAACTAGTAGCTATGTTGCGAAGCCCAGTAAAGTTCTAGCACATATAAATGAGAGTCAGAGACACCCAAAGTCCCCAAACCAAACCACAGCTCCTTGAAGCTTCAGCTGGAGCTGCAACATAAAGAATATCTGCTCAAAACAATCCAAAGCATTTTTTTCATCCCAACAACCTCCGGTAAGGCGATCGAAATTAAAGCCGCTGCACAGTGCCTACAATTATGAGTGAGGGGAAAATTGATTTAATCATTCGTGGTGCGGGGGAAATGCTTATCGGAAAGCTTGTGGCACAATGTACCATAAATTATGCACAACTATTTCGTAAGTGTAATGCCCTTAATAGGTGGCTACTGCCGTGCCCTGTGTGTGAACTGCGACGACTGGCAACAATTGCCGATGATTATTCAGTGTAATGGAGTTACCGGAGGGCCAGGGCCAGGGCCAGGGCCCCACCAAGACCCCAGGGGCAGCGCAGTGCATAGGTGTGGGTGTGGATGTGGACTGAGCTGGTAGCCCTGCCCTGCCCTGCCCTGCCCTGCCGCTTGCTTATGGCAAAATTTCCAATTGATTTTCACTTAAGTGTTAAGCTGGCTGAAAGGCCGCACGGCTCGGCCAACGACTCGAGTTGCTCGTCAAACAACAACTCGAGCGTGGGGGGATGGAGCCCACACTCACTTCACTCGTATTTGCATTTGGCCACATTTGTATTGCATATCACAACAATGGAGGTGGCCCAAGGTGAGGGGCGGTGCGGGACGGTGCGGGACGGTGCGAGGCAACAAAGTCAAAGTAATTTCCCTAAGTAAATTCCAAATAGTTTGGCTTGCTTCGCCTGAGCTTTGTCTAACCCTTGAGCAGCCAGCCCACTGCTGGTTTTTCTTTTTTCTTTTATTTTACTATAGTATTTTCCACGTCCTAGAACACACACACACACACACACACACACATGAACGAGTAGCGTATATAATATACATACATATATCTGAGCCTTGAGCCACGCCCCCATTTGGCCCATTTCAATTTGCACGTTTGCCATTCTTATCAATAGTCAAAAGCCTTTTACTACCTCGTGCCCATGCCATGCCGCATGCCCCTGTCATGCATTCTTCTCTGCCCTGCTGAAGAATGAAACTTCAGCTGTTTATGGACTAACTGACTGACTGATTGACTGACCTCCAGATGGTGAGCTCTCTGGATCTGACTCTGACTCTGGCTGCTAGCTATGGCTGTGGCTGGCTGGCTGTGGCTCTCATCTCCTATGTTTAGTATGCTGGTCTCGTGTGTGTGCGCCTAGCTGGAATGGCCATGGCCCAGCCAGCACAAGTATCTTCGGCAGCAGCTCTTCAGCAACGAGAAGTTTCTCTCGTTTTTCAAATTTGAATTTACTGCTGTTCTGCTTGAGCTCCAGCCCCCCCCCCGCCCACAGCCATGGCAGGCCATGCCGATTTAAGCAGTCAGAGTCAGTCAGCCATGCAGTTAGTGGATGCCCGGATTTGTGTGATTGGCAAAAGGGGTGCCCCGGGAGGGGCACTAGTCGCCATTCATTCTCAGCAGCCTTCTTTGAGCTGTGCTGGCCGGCCGGCCAGTGCTCACTCGTTCATTCATTTAGCCGCTAATCAAACAAAATTGAGGCATGCATTAGTTGTCTGTCTGCCACGCACCACAGGCACAGGCACAGGCATCGGCAGCAGCATCAGCACAGGCATCAGCATCAGCACCAATGCCGAAGCACAGTGGATGAATGGAAGCCATTCAAACAGAAATCAGAAGATAGAACATAGAAGAAGGAAGTAAGAACGAATTAAAAACAGATTCCCAAGCAAAAATTGGAAATAAAAGTCTCCAAAGTAAGTGCTAGAAATTAGATTTAAAATGGTCAAAAAAAAAAGTGTTCAAAATATTTAGAAGCGAAAGGAATTTATTTCAGCTATTAAAGGAAGAAAATAACTCTTTAAAAGTGTTGAAAATTATTTAATTATTGGTTATAAAATGTACCTTGGGCTCAATTCCAAAACTAGCTCCCAACAAAACTTTTCAATAGGTTCAAAAACGTTTTAAAATGGTGAGAAAGCTTATGATATGGGTATCAAATGGGTTATTGAAGCCAAAACTCAATGGATTAATTAAATTAAATTAAATTAATTGATTGCCTCTAGAAACTGGAAACATGAGAGCCCCTCAAGCATTAGCCATGATTAAATGTGTGAGCTCCAGAGCTAATAAATGTCCAAATATTATGGACACACTTTGCATTCAATTCAATAAAATATGAAGCCGAAATTGCAGGCCGATCGCTGGGCTTTGCGTTATGTATTAATTTTGGGGGGGTGGGGGCGGATTAGCGGGCATAAAAATAAAATGAAATTGCGAATTGAAAAGTGTGGAGTCTGGAGTGTGGATGCGATGCAGTGCCATTGATTTTTAGCATCAAAATGAATGGAAATAATCCACTGTGGGGACGGAGACGGAGACTGGATTGCCAGCATGCTTCACAGCATTGGATGGGTTTGTGGTGGGTGAGTGGGGGTAATGCTGGATGCTGATGACGGACAATGGCGCACGCGCTGCCCGTTAATGGCCGCTGCCACGCCTGCAACGCCTCCAATGCCTGCCGCCCAGTTCCGTTTTAAGGGCCGCACACGTACGCAAATAATGTCGCTTTCAGCAGGATGAGGCGCAGAGTGGCACAGTGGCAGGGGCAGGGGCAGGGGCAGAGGATACTGGAGTGAAGGCCTCGTAGAACGACTGTTGTCGGTTTGGCTAAACTTTTAGCCAACTGAAACGTGATTTGCCACAAACAAATAATTTTGCTATGGCCAACTAGTTTGTTTTTGGCCCAGAGTCTGAGGCAGAGTGATGGGTAAGGGGGTTGGGGGAGCAGCACAACTTATGCCAATATATGCAGCATACTTTCGGGCATTTATTTGCAGAGATCGCATTTGCGGCCAGGCGGCAATTAGCAGACGGCAGCCAACACTGGAGGCAGCAGCACTCTGCCAGCCCCTCTTAAAGTGGCAAAGACGAATCGAAAATCAGCCAGCATAATTGGTTCAACAATAATTGGGCGAAAGAGCTTTAATTAGCCACAAGTGCCAGCCAGTGGAGCCGGAGCCGTGATTGCTGTTTAAATTGGAATTTGACCAGGCCGTAACTGGATAAGTTTTCACTGCACTTTAATTGCCACTCCCAAGTGGCCATCGAGCCGGGCATTATGGCCAACTTCGATGCACGAAGCTAATTGATTACCACGCCGAAATGTTTACTGAATAAACATGAGTTTTACTTATAGTTTGCAGATCGTTTCGTGGGCTAAATTGATCTAGATTCTAGAACATATTTTCTAGTGCATTGAATTTGGGGCTTCTATTCATGGCCCCCCATTCGCCAGTCAATGGAAGAGCTGCAGGGAGCGGGCAGACATTTCTGCCTAGACTGCAGCACGTAACAGAGTCTGCATAGTTAACAGAGTATGTACAGCTAACAGAGTATGCAGAGCTAACAGAGTATGCAGAGCTAACAGAGTCTGCAGCGCTAACAGAGTCTGCAGCGCTAACAGCGAATGAGCCTCTGCAGAACGAAAAGCAGAGCTTCCAGCAGAGAGCAGAGAGCAGAGAGAGCAGCGAGGCGAGCCAAGCCTCAGCGATCGAAGCTTTCACTCTCTCTCCTTTGCTATTTATCTGTTAATTGAATCGTAGATAAAATAAAGACTTAAAATAGTAAATAAATAAAAATAAATACGACCAGACCACAGACAGTTCCCCTTCCTTGCTTCCACATGCGTGTTCAGGGTAGTCCAAAAAGTATCTATAACTATAAATTTAATTACAAATACTCGCACTGCTCCTCGTGTGACTCCTCGGCAATTTGTTAACTGAACTTTATGGGAAGGCTTACTAATGATGGATATGCTGCCTTAACCCCTCTTAGCCCGCCAAGTGCTGGCCAATTCTTATGTGCTGTCAACACTTGCTGCAGACAGGTGGCAAGTGTTCACATTCTGTACCCCTGCCCACTGCCCCCTGCCACCCATTTCCATTTTCTCTGCCGTGTGCGTTGATAGCAGAGCTTAGCTCCAAGACAGATTACAGCTTAAATGATGCATTAAAACAAACCGACACCACACACACACACACACACACACACACACCACACACACATACTCGTATGGGGGAGGGGGGTGTTGGAGGAGCCACTCGTAGTTTATTATTGACTGCTAAAGAGCCCCGGACTAAGCCCTGGACGTGGCCAGCAAATGCCTTGACATTTAAGAGGATTTTGGGGGCAGACACACATACACACACACACAGAGAAAGAGAAAGAGGGACAGAGAGAGGGAGAGGGAGAGGGAGAGAGAGTCAAACGATTTGGTGCCAGTGGGATTTGTGGTTGTGTGGGTTAGGGGGGTGTAGTAAGAGTGTTACAGATGGTCAACACTTGTCCAGAGTGCTGGACGGGGGCCGCCGCATCGCATCGCGCAGATCATCCTCCATTAGAGGGGGGCTGGGAGTGGGGGAAAACAACAAAGTTCCAACCAACATCATTGTTTATGCTGGAGCCAAAATTAAAACGAATACCACTCCAGCATCATCCACTGGCTCTTCCATTTAATTAAATTACCCAAATGACCAAAGCTGACACTCTACAAAAGCTTCAGGCAAGCGAGCTCCTTCAAGCATCTGCTCCTGCCCCTGCCCCTGCCCCAACCACTGATATGTGGCACATTGTCTTAAGTGTTGTACCCAAGGATAAGGAGGGGGACATGAACATGACCTGCCTTTGTCCGTGTGTCGTTGTGAATTTTCTAATGTGCCTCAATAAATTTCCAGCGTCGAAAAGTGCGTTTTATGCACTCTAATAACTCAAGAGAGACCCAACGATGCTGGCAAAAAACAACAGCAACGTCTGAGTCGGAGTCTGAGTCGGAGTCTGAGTCGGAGTCGGAGTCAG